TGTTCTCGTATTAGTTTCTAGTATTGGTCCATGATGTGAAATTTCTAGGTCTTGTTATTTGTCTTCCCGGTTATGTGTTGAAGCAATGAGGACATTGCCTCATTTTAAGTGTGGGGGAAGTTTAATCAGATTTTGCATGCTTATGTGGTGGACCGGTCTAGTTTTAGGTTCTTGTGTCATTAAGCATGTGGTATTGGTGAATTATATGATTTGTTGATAAATGTTTAATGAAATTGGGAAGTTGTGATGACGGACGTATTGATCATTTCCTCGATATTTACTTGATTGCTTTGAGTGACATTTATTTATCTTGTGAGATTTTGATCCTTACTCTTCTTTCTTGTGAGATATTGGTCATATTCATGAATGATTAGAACTTGCGTTGAGTTTGTTTGAAAGGAATCGATTAGAGTTTGAAATTGCGAATATGATTGAGGCGTTTTGTTTGTTAGCTCATTTTGCCTCTGTTCTTTGGTCCTATAATTATATTCCCTAGTAGTCCGTTTGAGCTTTGAGTCTTTTTCTTGTCAGCCGTACATGAAATATATTTTGTTGACTGATTTGGTGATGATTGGGGAAAATGGTATCGTTTTTTAATGAGGTGAAATTTGTGTTGGGATCTGTGAGGATCTCGTTATGTATAAGTCACGAATTCAATAGCAAACGTAAACCTATGCACAGCGGATCTAAAGGTTTGACGTAGAGAACTTACGGCTTAAAATTTATGTAGATCTGGTTGATCACGAACGGTTGACCGCAACTGATTGACCGCAAATCACGTCTTGGGTCGCACGAACAAGATCAGATCAAAATCAGATCAAACGGATGCAAACAGATCAAAACGAAACTTTGCATCCTGGGAGCTTGCGACGGCGCGTGAGGGCGCGTGAGATGTCGGAGTCCGGCGATCTCGGCGGCGATGGAAATCTCTCGTCGAGACGGTCGTCTAGGTATGCTGTGCGTCTCAATAGGACCTCCGGTTAGTTCTGTAGGTCAAAATATTTCGTCTCGGTTTACCTACAGATCTTCTACTGTATTACTCAATACACCCTTCTTCAACTTGTACCAGTGGAACAACAAGAAGAAGATAAATCTCGAATGAGATCTAGAGAGAGAGAGGCGTGGGGCGTGTATTATGAATAATGACAGATGTCTTCTCTTCTCATGAGCTTAATGATGTATATATAGAGCTACAGTAGGGACCCTTAGGAGATTAGAAAAATGGCTCCTTAATTAATTAGACTAACTGTGGGTCAAGCCCACTCCTCTAATTAATTAAATAATATTAATGGGCCACCAACATTATATTATTGCACTCCTTTTTCCTAGCCTAAATTACATTTGAGACTCCAATAATAATTACTCGATTTACCTCCCCACGTTTAAGATATAATGTCCATTAATTAATTCGATTACTGACAATCAAGAGTTAATTAATTTATAATTATTTCACCGAAGCTAGCGCTCGTTCATCACATTCTTATTATGCCGTAACTTAATCCACCTGCAGGGTTTAGCATATAATCTTTCATGAACTCACTCCGGGGACATCATCAAAGCACATGGTGACCGTAAATATCCTAACAGCACATCCTATATATAATAATATTACCCAAAACAGTAGGAATATTGATCCAGTGAACTGAACCTCACCCAAGTGAATCAAAGTAATATATATTATATATATCTGCCTGTTTAATATCTTACGGGTTAAGAGAACGCAGTAATTAACTGAGGCCTAGTTCATTTACGACGATCAGTATAAAATAAACTTCTCCTCTCTGGGATCCTGTTCAATACATAAATGTACTAGTTCAACTAATCAGTCAAGACAAACTGTACAGTTGACACTACAACTGTTCGGACCGTTCATGTCCATCTAGGTTGTGAACAACTATTCTTGTTCGCAAGTGATTGATAGAGTGATCTTCGGTTCACCCGATGACGACCCACCCTATCTAAGTGCAGAACAACAGAATGTAGAACTTGTTTAATCTAACACGATTCTCATTCATAAAGGGTAAATGTGTAATAACATGCAAAGCCAAGCTTTCAGTATATAACACTAACAATTTGAAGTTGCACTATATTGCTTGACCTAATAAAAAAAAACATGAGAGCTCACAGGACGAATCGAATGGATTCTGCTTCTCTTACTAGTCGATTCATGTTGACGGGTAATGAGAATTGGGAAACTACTGTAGGACACTTGGATGACCTCCAATGTTCACACCTACAGAATGTTGTCCTTTCGATTCCATCTTGTTCGGAAAGAGTTACTCTCTAAAATAAAAAAATATATAAAAAAAAAAGAGAAGAAAAAAAAGAATCGGTCAAGTGTTGCAATTCGATTAGAGCAATTAGGTGTTGTGTGTGGTGTTTTGGTTGGGTGGTAAGTGTGTTGTCATGTTTATTCCGAATGAGCAGCGGAGAATTCGAGTAATCTATTTTCTCGAGAATTGTGATTGTTAATTGGAGCTTCTTTTGCTGCATATATATCCTTACCTTAAACCCGCATTACAACCCGTGAAGTCCTATTGATTCACAATTTCTGAGCTTTGATTGTTTCAAAGTAATTTAAATGATTGGCAAGAATATGTTGAAACTTGAATATTGACCAATTTGAGCGAACCTATCATATATTGACGTAAGAAAATGAGTGAGGCATATATGGTAACCTATGTTTTGAGAGTTTTGACATTTCAAGGCCAAGTCGATATTTGAGGCATATGGTCGTACGGTCGTTGGAATTCGACCTAATTGAGTTAGACATTTTGAGGCTCTTCTTATTTGAAACCGTATCCATGCTTGTGTCTTGTTTTCTTTTTTTTTTTTTTTTTTTTTTCCGAACCAACTGTTTGTCCCATTTTTGTTGCGTTTTTCGTTGTTGTTTTGTCATTTTTTTTCTCCCGTTTTAGGTCTTTTCGTTGGTTTTTAGTCGTTTTGTAGTTTATTGTGTGTTTTACTCTATTTTGGTCATCTATTCATGTATTTTTTCGGTTTTTCTTCTTGTTTTTGATGTGCAGGTCGGAAGGCCCGTGAGGAAGAGATTTTGCCCGAAAATTGACCGGGAAATCATGGTTATGTAGACGAGTTCATTGGTTCCATATAGGAAAAAGCAGAACTCAATTTTGAGTTTGGACGAGTCCGAACCGGCCCAAAACGCGAAGTCTTTGGTGTGCTGATCATAAGCTTTGGGAGAATTGGATTTCAAGAATAAATTGGTCATGCAAGCATTATTGAATAGAGGGGTGCGTTAGCGACGTGTAGAAAAAAATGGAACTCAATTCCAAGTTCGAACGAGCCCAAACGAGCCCGAAACACAAAGTCGCGCTACCCAGGCCATAATGGCGCTAAGCCAGGCTTACCTAGCGGCGTTATACCATGTTAACGACCCCAGAGGCGCTAACATCCCTTAGTGGCGCTAAGACCACCTGCAACTCCACAATGGTATAAAAAGCCACAAAAACTCATCTTTATCCAATTTTTCACCACCAGCTCGAAGGGGGAGGAGCCCTAGGTCCGAAAATCGCCTCCCCCTTCATTTTCCTTCATATTCTTCTTCTTTTCTTCTTCTTTTCTCCATTTTTCTTCTTCTTTTCTTTCTTTCTCCTTCCCTTCTTCTTCTTCTCTTCTCCTCTTCTCCATTTTTCTTTCTTTTTTCTTTCTTTTCCATTTTAGGGATTAAGCTTGTATTTTGGATTCAACACTTGGATTGAGATAAATTGTAAGTTTTTCTTCTTGTTTAATTCATGAAAATGGTTGAATTGGGAGAAATGATTGATTGTGTTGAACTTATTTTGCGTAGCTAATTCCAATTGCTAGAGATAGGGGATGATTGTTCTTGTTTAATTCGTAATTATTGGGCTTTAATTTGTTTGTTCTTGTGCGAGTTGATTATGCTAGAAATTGATGAATTCTTGCTTGATAATTTGATATAACCTAAGAGTGACACTTAGGTTAATTTATTGATATAATCGAAGAGTAACACTTTGACTTTGCGATTGAAACGATTGAATATTGATTTTTTGAGTTAGGGTTTGTTGATTCTACATGATTAGTTGATTAAACACCTTCTAATTGAATTAGCGACTTTTAGAACCGAAAGGGAAGGAGTCGTAGAACTAGGCTCGTACGAAATAGACGAGTTTGTAATTGAATAGTCTATAGGTTTTGGATTGAAATACGTGTTTGTCAATGACCCGTCCCTTGTTACGAAAAGTTATTGGGATTGGGATAATTGACCTGTGTTGTATGCTCGAGCTTGCTCGTCTATGTTCAATCCCTTGTTTCGAAGAGTTATTGGGAGTGAACCACTAGATGTTTAGATGAGAGCGTCAATCTGGAATAGAACGATTAATGCCCCAGTTTGGCAAATAGAACTTGAATTGATTATCTCTGATTCCCTAGCTTCTCCACCGTTAGTTTATTCTTATTTTAGGTAGATTTATATTTTTGCATTGTTCTTTATTTCTTAATTGATAATACCCAATTCATCTTGATTAGAATGTTTAGAATTTTATTTTCTTTTTGTGTGTGATCGATACCAAAGCTAAATTTCGAACCGTCTTCCTCGAGAGATCGACCCGGGGAACGAATCCTTCAATTCGGTATTCGGTAAAAATAACAATTTGTACACAACAAAATTATACGAAAGTCATCATAAAATGCACAATTTTGTAAAGAAAGTTAATAGTGTCACAGATAGGATGTTGCTCAATGACACTAATAAATATCGCCATTAACAAATGCTAAATTGTGATAAAAGTCATCATAAAATTCTTCGACGAAAACTAACAATGCCATAAATATGGTAATTTGTCGCTGTTAAATATTAAATATTGACGAATTCGTCTTAAATATGTAAATTTACGATGAAAATTAAGAGTGTCGTTAATAAGTTATTTTTAGTAATGTCATAAATAGAATATTTTCAATGACAAAAATAGAAATTGTCATTATTGCATACCAAATACCAAACTGAGACAGATTACTCTATGAAAAAAAAAAAAATTGTCATTTACTAAACAAATTCAGACAAAAATTATTTCATAACAAAGAAAATCATAACAAATATGGACCATGTTCTCCACGACGTGCTGGATGAATTTGTTGTGGTGTACCTGGACGATATTGTAGTCTACAATGAGACCTTAGTAGACCACTTGAAGTTCCTTCTTAGGGTTCTAGAAAGACTTGGGGAAGACAAACTTTACGCTAAACAATTTAAATGTTGCTTCATATCATTGAGAGGAGTACCCTAAAAACATTCTACTAATCCAAGATTAGAGATCATCTAGCAACGTGCACGAAGAGAGATCATTTTTGGGCTTCGAGAATAATTACTATTAGTTCGTGAAGGGATATTCAATTCAAATATTATGAGCCCTTGATGTGAGTTGCTCATATGAACAGTGCAAAACTTGTCCAAATACAGCTACCTCTGTAAGGCGAGCACAGAAGCATCTTTCATCAACCGTAACTGCCAAATTTTAGGACTCCGTTCTAACTATCCTACAAATACCAAAGAATGTTCATAACCTTATTGTTGAAGAAATAAAAACACCAAAAAGTGGAATAAATTGCATTTAATACACTTATCGTGCCCTATTTTTGAGCTGTAGCAGGACTACCACCACCAGTTGTCGGCCTGCAAGAACAAAAAAGGTTTTATCTGTCATATGAAGTGAAGAAACTCCCATAAGGAAAACTAGAATTCGAGTACGTCTTATGTGAGACCGTCTAATAGTAACACCATCGCTAGACATTCTCTTCTTTTTCATCTTTAGTTCAAACACAACACCATTAAACATCAATTATAATGCTTGTAAAATGTATTATATTTTTCATGGAAATAGTATTGCAGTCTTATTTTTTGGGCCAAAAAAGTTGTTAGCATTAGCAAATGGAAAGGAGGAGAAAAAGTGAAACTCACAGTCCAACAAAAACTTTGAACGCGTCATAAATGCCCCACTGAGCTCCAGTAAGTGTCCCGATCATGACAATACGCAAAGGGAGGCCTCGAGTGCACAAACCCAATAAACCAAGCTTTTTCACAGCCTGGAATAATCATACAAGGTAATAAACAACAAAAATCGTCGAAACATTTAGCATTCTATCCACAGATAACAAATATATTGCTAATTTGCCGCAATAAATTCATGGTTATAAGTAAATATTCACTCACGTCACCAATTGTAGCTCCTTTGGCATTGTTGAGGAACGAGACCAGATTATCAGCAGGGTGCGAAACAATAGCACAGAAAACACCGGCCACGTAGCCACCGGCAAAACTGACCCCGAGCTGCAACTGCTTGCTGCACTGTTCTTTCGGAGTTGGAATGGCGTATTTGTAAATTCCCGTAACAATGTTTTCAAAAGTGGCGAATTTCATCATAGTATCTGGCAGGTAATCATCCACTTATATCTTTAGTGCTTGCTAGAAGAAAATTACTTTAGATAATCAAGATTGTATTGTTTTCCTCTTTTGCAATAAGAAAAAGGAAAAGTAAAGCTCAAAATGCAGCTCCAGGATTGTTTCATATCCACAATTAAAAATAATATGTTTCAACCTTCCAAATTCCAATCCACAACAGTGAATGAAAAACATATGCGGAATACAGGAAATGAAATGAAACAAGGAAAAAAGAAAACGAACGAGGGCTCACATGGAATTTGTCGTCCCCAAAGTGGGACAATCCCCTTATAAAGCCTGTAAAAACACATACAAATTGTGAAAACGGCTTTTTTATTCGAAAAAAATGAAAGGAGAATGTACAATAAGATTCATTCATACCCTGAAGCTCCTTCAGCCCTGACAAATTTTGGAAATCCATCAGACAAGCCCCTGGCGAAACCTGGTTGGGTTTGGACACGAACCTTAACTGCCTCAAACGGGCAAAGGGCAATATCGGCAATAAATTCAGCAGAAGCAGATCCTGCTAGGAAGATCAGAGTCTTGTATTTGGCTGCATTCTCTGGACCAGCCATGTCCGAGTAGTACTTCTTGAAAAATTCATAGAAGCCGAATTTGCAAGCTCCCTGTGCACTGTAACCGAGCAGTGTAGGCACCCAACCCCTGAAGAAGCCTTTGAACCCTTGCTCCTTGAGCAGAATCCCAAAACCAGAGCTAATGCTCTTGTACTTTGCAGGATCAATCTGAAAAAAACAAAAAAAAAAAAAAAATGTGTAGGAAATATTGATTTGGCTTCTGTATAATAGAAATGATATTAGTCCTTAAATCAGTTATTTTCTATAACTACAGTTTCAAAGTCCTCCATATTTCATGGCTAAAGATGAACCATATTAAGCTTTGGGATAAAAAGAAAGAACTTTAATCAAAATATTATATGTAATTATTAATGTAAAGCTAAAATTATTCGAAATTACCCATTAGTTCCCGTGTCGTTTGTTAGTTTATCATATTTGCAACTAGCAAAGGAGAACACGAGTAAAAACCACCATTATGCTGCAGTTTTCAACTAAAAAAAAAAAAAAAAATGCTCAGTTCACCATATCTAATAAACACCATGTAATCAAATATTTAAAGCTTCGTGTGAAGGTCCATGCGTGTGTTTTTGGCTTATGTAAACAAATACCCACAACTAATATAGAAAGGGAATCAACAAATCAAAGAGATAACCAGCTACCATCCTATATGCAGATAGAATCCGAGCATTCGCAGTTGTTGCAGTAAATTTGTTAGCACATAATATCATCGTATTCTGGCAAAAGTACATCAGAAAGACAGAAATTACCCACATACATACAGAACATCTGTTTAAAAGTCCTAATGTACTTGAAATGGTCGAAGATTGTTGCACTTTTATATGCAAGTACCAACTCGAAGAACATAAACATTCGAAATCCCTAACAAATATCTCATAACCAACAATTTTAAGCCCAAAAATCGAAGAGAGCTGTAACAGAGAGAACAAAAGGGTGAAATGGGAAATTCCAGCGAACCTGCATATTGCACTTGACCAGATCCAGTGGTGTGACGGTCATATGAGTAAGGCCGCAGCTAAGAATTCCTCCGAACGTGCACGCCGCGTAGTAAGCCGGCGAGAACATCTCTATCCTGCTCTCCTTCGGCGCCGGGATCATGAAATTCCGGCCAGTTCTTGCTGCCGGCGGCCCAGATGGGTTGTTCGTTCCGGACGTCAGATTCTGATCCACATTCGTCATCCTAACCGATGTTAGCGAAGAAGAGTAGAGAAAACTCGGGATCAAAGATTGGCGGGATGGGTTCTCTGGGTAAGCCATTGCTGATTTATTTATTTGTTTTGTTTTTTTGGAAAGATCAAATATTTGAATTTAAATTTAGAAACAAATTACAAGCAAAAATGACTTTGATTTTTGGGTAAAAGAAAAACGAGGAGGAAGAGAGGGAGAGAAAAATGGAAAGGCTCCGAGGAAATGGGGGCTTGGGCGAATTCGAAGGGAGTCCGAGCGTTTTCTCCTTCCTTTGCGCGCCATTTTCTCTTTCTCTTTCTTTTAACAAATTGAATTGGAGATGTTTTTTTTTAAGAAACGAAGCTCAATTTGATCATGTATCATTGACTTTTAGATATGCACCATTTATATATTTAAGACTCATTGTGAGTGTTATGTACACCAATATGTACATTATTATGTACCTATAGGCACAAGGGCTGTTATCGAATCGAACCGAACCGAACCGAGCTTAAGGTGTTCGAGCTCGAGTTCGATTAATTTTCGAACATGTTCGTGTTCGTTCGATTAGTAAACGAACAAAAAATTTTGTTCGTGTTCGTTCGTTTATTGGTTCGACACGTTCGTGTTCGTTCGTTTATCTAGTCGAACATGTTCGTGAACTGTTCGAATTGTTCGACAAATTTGTGTTCGAGTTGTTCGACATGTTCGTGTTCGTGTTTTTTAACTTTTTTTATTTTATTTTAATGTCATATAAGTTATTTTATTTATTATTTAATATCTATTCATATTTATATGTTATATTATATATGTATATACTATATATAATATATAAAATTATAAAATATTTGTGTTTTATTTGATATTTAATATATATTCATATTTATATATTATATTATACATGTATATACTATATATAATATATAAAACTATAAAATATTTTTTTGTTCGCGAACGCTCGATTAGTTCGAGAACATGTTCGTGTTCGTTCGATAACTAAACGAGCTTAATTTTATGTTCGTGTTCGATTCGAATGCTAAACAAACGAGCTGTTATCGAACACGAACGAACTCGAACGAGCTTTGTTTGCGAATGTTCGGTTCGATAACAGCTCTAGCTAAAGGTACATAATAATGTACATATTGGTGTACATAACACTCACATTGAGTGAGTCCTACCAAAAATAAAAAATTAAGTGAACCCCACCCCAGATACCATGTGAGTGTTATGTAGACCTCTATGTAAATTTATTGTGTACTTGTAACATTTTTCCTTATATATATATATATATATATTTGTTGGCAAGCTTCATTTAATTTTATTCAGCCTTCAATCAATAATAATATGAGTTCATTTAATAAAAATAGGTTGCATTTAATAAAAAGTTTTATGACCTCTATCCAAAAACCGTTACAACATATCTTTTTCCTTTTAATCTATTCCCTACAACCATCCACCTATTTTTTTACTATATTTTGGATTTCTAACGGTTGCATGCGATTACCATTTTTAATTTCTCGGAGAATGTAACTATTGCATGGTTACGAGATAATGTTTAAACCCTTAAATTTGAATGGTTATAACTATTCTTTTAATTTGTATGTTGACTATTCACATGTAAAAGAAGTATCTATATATATAATAAGAATTATTATTTACTAAAAATAGTAAGAAAAAAAATCCTCCAAAATTTAATGCAACCTAAAAATAGTAATTTTTAATTATTTTTTTAAATCGGCAACATAAATACATCCCTAAATTGTGAGGTTTTGTTAGCTTCGGTATTCAAATCTCGAAAGAGTTAATCCCTATTATTTTTAAAAATGACCTTTTCTTTTCCAATTTTGCACTAACATTTGAAATGGAATCCCCAAAATGATTTGATAACGAAAATGGATTTAATAATTTGATGGATTTATGAAATATTTTTCCTGAATTGGTGGCAGTAAAGTAGGGTAAATTTGTCAAATCAATAATTGTGTCAATCTATTTGACATTTTATTTTCAAATTTTGTTGATAAATCTTTATATAATTATATATAGTGAATAATAATTCTTAAATGTAACATCTATATATATAAAGAGAATAACTATTTATCAGAAATATTAAGAAAAAAAATCGGGCAAAATTAAATACATGGTAATTTCGGGATTTTTTTTTTGTATTTCCTTTTAACAAAAAATCGGACAGCATTAAATGCTCCCATCAAAATTGGGTATTATTCAATTCAAATTCAAAAATTGTGGCTCCAAAAATTTTGGATCGACTTTTCCAACCATTTTGTACGGATTTTCCAACCCATACCTTAAATTCCTTAAATTAAGAATTTTGTTCAACTTCAAATTTTAAAATCTCGATTCCAAAATATGGTGTATATCAAATTGTATGCATTTTAAAATTCAAAAACACCAATGCACACGGTTTTTAGATATAAACATTTTCTAAAAATGTTGGACCGATTTTTTCAATTATTTTTTGACGGATATTCCAACCATTTATAAAAATTAAGGATTTTGGTCAACTTAAACTTTCAAAATATCGACTCCAAAAAATCTGGTGTAAATCAAATTGTATGCATTTCAAAATTTAAAAGCACAAAGCACACGATTTTTTTTTATGTAAACTTCCTAAAATGAAGGATTGATGCAATTTAAATCACATCTTTTCAAACTTTTGACTTATTTGGTTTAAATTTTCAAGAGATTCATAATTGACTCTGAATTTAAAATCATTAGTTTTCAAAAGCTTAAGGAATTCTTCTCATTTTGGATTCTTTTGGAGTAATGTGTCATTACTAATATTTTATATTTGTTTAGGTATTTTTTTTACACATTTTATAAATTAAGTTCTATATATGTAGATGTTAAATTTAAATGCCCTTGGACATTTTTTGGTTACAAAATTGATTAAAAAACTTTTAGGCGAATTCACATTTTCTAAGAATAATAAAAATATTTTATATAATCTTACATACGTGATATAATATTTTAGGTGTTTTTAATATTTTAAACATACATGTTTTATGTTATACAAGATAATTTTATATTTTAAATTATATCACATGTTAACCTCTCTTCTTTAATTTATAATTATTATTTAATATTACTTACCCGTGCATCGCACGGGCTACGCACTCGTTAAGTATTGATATGCTATAGATACAACGCAAAATATATATAAGAAGAGTATTTGTAATACAGATCTTTACACCAGCTCATTCAAATTCTATTTAAAATCATTAGTTTGCAATTTAAAATCTATTTTATTTTATATAATAAATATAGTAATGAATTTGAATACTTTTATGATGTTTATTTTTACTAAAATCAAAATTTTTAAAATGTGATACTATTATTTAAGTTATAATTTTACAATTATACACATCCAAGTACCTTATAAGTTATAATAAGGGTTAATTGCCAAAAAAATGCCAACCTTTCCTTAAATTGTATTTAAAACTCAAGTTTTTTAATTTTGCACTAAAATACAAACCTTTTTAAATTTTTGCAATTCTGTCTCAATGTTGACTTCCGGCAATGGACTGCTGACGTGGCTTATCGGAAAAATGACGGGGCAATGAAACTCAAAATCTTTTGCCACTTCAGCATACACGTGTATGTACACATTATAATTTGTTTATCTTTCCAAAAAAAAAAATCTCTCCCATTCCCCTTATTTGCTTATTCGCAGAAATCTGAGAGAAAAAAGAAAGAAGAGCAGCGACAACCGACGAGCCGAGCTTTCTTCTCCATTCATTCAACGGGCAGTGATTTACCTACAGAATTCGAGTAGTGCTATGCAATTCACCTCAAGCGATTCACCTCCATTCATCTCCAGATCAAGATTGGTGAAGGTTATTGGAGCCACAGAACCCTAAATGGAGAACGGGTAAATGGCTTTTTCACCCATTTTTTTTTTTTTTTAGATTTCAGAGTCTGCGATAAAATTTATTTTGTTTAACAGCATGTGGTTCAATTTCTTTTACAAATGCTTATGCGCCCCTGATGAGTCTGTTTGTGTAAAGTCCCAGTTTTTTCAGTAGCAGTCCCGGTTGTCGAAAAGTGTTTATATTTTAATGTGATTATATTTGATTGAGTTCTTATGGTTTTTTTTATTGAAGTGTTTTTTGGAAAAAGAAATTAACATTTTTTTAGCAAAATTTGTAGTGTAGTCTGTCACATATCAAGATTTTCTAATTTCAATTTTTTAGTTTGAGGTTGATGTCAAAATTACTTTAGGTGATTTTGTTTTGAATACTACAAGTGATAGATATTGGAAAGTATAATTTTCCTTTGTTCTGCTTGTAATGCAATGGAACATGTTCTGATTTCTGCTTGTACTAACCAAATTGTTAGTTGATTCAATGGAACTTGTTGCACCAAATAATGCTCACTAACAGTCTTCATTTAATTGAATGTCTTGAATAGATTCAAATTCCCATTAGTCTGAATTTCGATTGTAAGTAGAAGACTGAAAGAAACAACTCAGTTTTTGTTTTTTCTTGCAGGGATGAGTTCTCCATTTATTTGAACCATGGTGGCAAATTTACTACCAATAATTTTGAGATGGAATATGATGGGTTTGGTTTCAAAATGTTGCCTAAGTTAGATGTAGATAGGTTTGGGTATCTAGACTTAGAAGAAGAGGTGCAGAACTTGGGTTACAAAAGTTGGGGTAAACTATATTACAAGATGCCAGGGGTTGAAGGGCCTAGTTCAATGAAGCTTGTCCATAATGATGATGGGATAATGGAGATGATAACATGTGTTAAAAAGGGTCATAAAGTGATTGATGTTTATGTGGATGATTGTGTTGATGAGGAAAATGATAGTGAAGATGAGGCTCCAATAGATGAGGAAATTTTGATGATTCCGATTGGAAATAGCAACAGAAAAGGTGAAGGTTCATCTGAGAGTAGTGAGGATGAAGATTATGTTCCTGTACTTGAGAGTTCATCTGATGATGATGATTTATGTGATCATGAGCTTGCTTCTGATGATGAGGAGAGAATCGTGGCTAGGAGAAAGTTCAAAGAATATAGGAATTTTGTTCCAGATGAGGCAGAGAATGAAGATTTGTCCCTCGCAATATTTCTTTTATGATCCTAAGTGTGATCACAAGAATTTTAATTTTGTGCTTGGGATGAGGTTTAGATATGGTGAGGAGGTCAGAAGGGCCATTCAGAAGGTAGCCATTGTTAATGGCTATAATATAAAAAATGTTAAGACCAACAAAAGGCAAATCCAAGCTAAGTGTAGTGAGGGTTGTCCTTGGAGCCTTTATGCCTCTCCAATCACTTCTGAAGGTAGGTTTGCAATAAAGTCTCTGAATGCTGAACACAGGTGCCACAGGGATGTACACACTAGGCAGGTGACTGGGGATTGGATTGCTAGGGAATATATTGGCACTTTCAGAAAAAACCCAAACTTCACTATATCACAACTGACAGATGACATACTAACTAATTATGTTGTTCAACCAACCAAATGGAAGCTTTACAGAGGAAAATGAAAGGCACTGGAAATGTTGAGAGGATCTGTGACAGAGCATTATGCATCTCTCAGACGTTACATGGTTGAGTTGCAGAGAGTAGACAGAGAAGGCAAATTTGAGTTTCAGTTACAAGATGGCAGTGTGTTTAGATCCTTCTATGTTGGATTTAGTGCGCTTAGGAAAGGTTTCTTACATGGATGTAGACCTGTCTTAGGCTTTGATGGTTGTTTTTTGAAGACATTCTTAGGTGGTGCATTACTTTGTGCCACAGCGAAGGATGGAAATAACCAAATGTATCCTGTGGCGTGGGCAGTAGTTGAGGCAGAGAATGAAGCTTGTTGGAAATGGTTTTTGTCCATTCTATTTGAGGACTTGGGGATTAGTGATGGGCTTGGTTATACGTTCATCAGTGACCAACAAAAGGCAAGTATTTATTAATATATTTTTTTATACATTCTATCTTTGTTGTGATGGGCTTGGTTTATGAACATACATTTTATTTTTTTGTTAATATCTGTATGGTTAATGTTTTTGTTTTGGATGTTTATAGGGATTGATAAATGCAATTGCAGAGTTGACACCCCATGCTGAGCACAGGAATTGTGCAAGGCATGTTTATATGAACTGGAAAAAAGATTTCAATGGCCAGAACTTGAAGTTCATTTTTTGGAGGTTGGTGATGAGCACACATAAAGGTGCATACAACATTGCGTTGGACGATTTGAAAGCAGAATCCGAGGATGCATGTAAGGAATTTCTTAAGAAAAATCCTGCCAGGTTTTGCAAGGCTTTTATTTCCCCAATGCCTAAATGTGACATGATTGAAAATAATGTTAGTGAAACATTTAATGGGTATATTGTAAAGGCTAGGGGGAAGCATATCATAGACATGTTGGAAAGCATTAGGAGTGATCTTATGAAAAGGCAATATGATAAGCTCATGGAAATGAGTGGGGTGGGTGATATTATATGTCCTAGGATTAGAAAGGTGTTAGAAACTAACAAATTCAAGTCTAGGCATTGTGTTACAAAACCTGCTATGGGGGAAAGATTCCAAGTGGCATTTGATGCGGATCAGTTTGTTGTTGATTTGAGGAACAAGACATGTACATGTAGGCATTGGGATATAACTGGAATCCCATGCATCCATGCATGTTCATCTATTCATTTTTTGCATAAAGATCCAGCTGATTATGTACATGAGTGGTATAGTGTTGAAAGATACATTAAACTGTATTCTACTGCTCTGGAACCACTTAATGGTAATAAGTTATGGCCTGCTGCTTTTGGATATCCCATCAAGCCACCGCCATTTAGAAAAATGCCTGGGAGGCCCAAGAAAAAAAGAAGAAGGGCCCCTGAAGAAGAGAGACAGTCTGCCACAAAGTTGAAGAGATTTGGTCTTCAAATGACCTGTCAAAACTGTTTGAGAAAAGGTCACAACAAAAAGACATGTAAAAATGAACCAGTTCAAAAGCCTGAGAAGGTAAATTGATTTACTCTAGCTTTCTTTCCTTTTCTTTGAATTCATTATATATACTAATTCATCTTTCCAATATCCTCATAGAAAAAGAGAGGAAGACCAAAGAAAATTGTGGATTCTTCAGACATTGCATCTTTTCCGAAGAGGCCTAAGTTACCAGTTAAGAGAAATGTCAACTCAACTGTTCAGAAAGAGAGGGCAATGGTAATTTTAATTTATTTATTTTTGTTTTTGTTCAGTTTTGATACTTTAGTAATCTTGGAATTCAAATGTCGTTACTTTGTAGGCAAGAAAAGGCATTGGTCTTCTGCAATCGGAAGAAACAGGGAATAGCTATCTGAGGGTATATTATTGTTGTACTTTATAACTCAATTTTTTTTTTCTGTGGATATTAATGTGTATTTTTTTTTCGTAGATGTCATCACACAAGAAAGTTCATTTGATACAATCCAGAAATGTCACATCTGTTGGGGCAAGCTCAAGTGAAAGAATGGGTAGAAGAGAGATGGGTGCTGAAAGTGGGACAAGCAGTCTAGTGGAGTGTGAAACTAATATTGGAACTCAATCTAGTGCAATATGAATTCTATTTTGTGTAATGCTACCGTGGAAGCAACATTTGTTTTATTTTTGTTTTTTTGGTATTCCTGTAGTGTGGCATTATTCTGCTGTGAAACATTAAACTCCCTCGCCATATTTTGTGTAATGTGCTTGTGAAAACAATTATTTTATTACAGTGTGATGTTTGGCTTTATTACTGTGTTCATTTCTTTATAAACTTGTAATGTTTTAACACTTTTTAATACCACTACTTTCAAACCTTTTGTACTGTTGTAACATTTTTTTTTAAAAAAAAAAATACAATTTTCCCACGGCTCGAAAAAATAGTCCATGGCCCGCTAAATATTTTGCTGGCCGCTGAAATAGCAGATTCATTGCCTCAAAAACTCGCGGCCCTCACATACATGAACCTAATGTCGTTATTTTCAGACCTCAACATCACATTCAACAACATCAAACTTCATTCAATCCAACAATACTTAATGAAAAGTTCACAGGACTTCGGTCACTACAACTTCATCAAAGTTCATTGTATCCAAACATACTTACTTAAGCATATAAAAGAGTGAAAGAAAGGTAACAATGAACCAAAATGAAAATTTTATATATGTGAGCTTATTCTTCAATCTCCGAGCCTCATTGACAAAATCATCAAGCCTCAACTGCAATTCAACATTTTCTGTTGCTTGAATCTGTAATTTTTCCATCAAGTCATTGTTCTCATCTTCCAACTTTTGTATCTCGGTAACCTTCAACTCCAGCCTCAACTGCAATTCAACATTTTCTGTTGCTTGAATCTGTAATTTTTCCATCAAGTCATTGTTCTTATCTTCCAACTTTTGTATCTCGGTAGCCTTCAACTTCAGCCTCTGTGATAGCAGTTGTTCCATTTCATTTTTGCACATTACTTGCTCCTGCAACCTATCCTTTTCAGCCTTAAGCTTGTTAAAACAACTCTTTTGGAACGGCGGCAACTCGGGATCAATCCAAACAAACATGTTACAAGGTTTCTTGTCCCCTTTCTTGTCCTATATAAAAATAAAATAATTCGGATCGAATCAATCATTGATACAAATTCATGTTAACAAAATATATCATCTTCTATAATGTAACATTCTTTCAAAACCAACTCAAACAAAATAAATCTCAAAACACAATAACCTTTGTACTAAGTATTATAAGAACATTACCTTTCAGTGATGACATCTTAAAAACTTCGAGCTGGGTTATCATTAGTCTTTGATGTCAAAACGTCGGCTTCTATGTCATGATCACATAGCCTTACTACATTCTGACTATTAGAGGATCTGTATCGATTGGTTGAACTCGAGCCAGAAGCATCTGACATGGTGGTGCACTGTAGAAATTAACAACATCATCAAACTTCATTTTAATTTAATAAATACATGGATGCCTAATGGTAGGATATCTAAATACATTACTGTGTGTGTGTATCATGTCTCATATTGAATGACAATCCTAGCTCCATCAAAACTATCCATTCAACTAAGAGTACTTATTTTTCATTTTCAATTACTCGTATTCGAAGGACAAGACTGATACTCAAGAGATGAATTTAATCCGTGCTAAAACATGATCCATACTTCAATTAGACCACAACACTTTTTCATTAAAAAACAAAAAATTAAAAAAAAAAAAAAAAAAAANTAAAAAAAAAAAAAAAAAAAACTTCCAGCACAAGATTAATGGCCTAATTATACATGCATAAAACATATAAGTAAATCACAAATCACATACCCATAAATTCGACATTAGGTCAGTCCCATAAGAATGCATCCAACATATATTTGCTCTGTGTGTGTGTGTTGTGTGTGTGCACTAACATATCATAGTCAAATGAAGAAATTAATTTGAAATTCGCGAACAATAACTGTTAGGGTTCTGGGATTCGTGGTTGAATCAAGCCATGAATTCGAGAAATTCGACAGGAATACCTGTTAGGTTTCTGGATTGGAAATTCGAGAAGAACTCGGTGAATCAAGCCAAAAATTCGCAGCAGATTTTTCAGGCAAATCGCTTGATTATTCTCAATGGAGGTAAATCGCGTGGAATGAATGGAGAAGATCGTCGCTGCTCCTTTTTTTTTTCTCTCAGATTTCTGTGAATGAGCGAATGAGGAGAATGGGGCAGGATTGAAAGAAAAAAAAAATTATATAGCAGTAATATGACGTGTAGGGATGGAGTGATGTGTATGCTGAAGTGGCAGAAGATTTTGAGTTTGATTGCCCCGTCATTTTTCCGATAGGTCACATCAGCAGTCCATTGCCGGAAGTCAACATTGAGACAGAATTGCAAAAATTTAAAAAGGTTTGTATTTTAGTGCAAAATTAAAAAACTTGAGTTTTAAATGCAATTTAAGGAAAGGTTGGCATTTTTTTGGCAATTAACCCTTATAATAATTTAAATTTCTATGCATATTCACAAGATCAAATATTAGTTGTATTAAAGATGATGCAATGTTGCTATGTTTCTTATATGCATCTATGTGGTAAACAAAATGAATAATGTCAATAGTGCAATCACCTCTTTTCTACTTTAATACTACATTAATTTTAATCATTACAATTTAAATCATATTCAAACACATACTGTTAGAGTGATTTTGTAAATATTGTATTTTTGGTATAGATAGATTTTGGAATCTTAGAGATTTAGTCTATATTATTTTAGGGCTTCTCTTTTATCTATATATTGGGGCCCTGGTAAATCTACATGAGAAGGTTTTTGGGTGAAACGAATTGTTTTTCGCATATTTGTCATGGTATCAGAGATAAGTTAATTTTTTTTTCAGATCTTAAGTCTCGATCAACTGAGACTCATATTTTTCTCTCTTCTTGCTGCTCTCTCTAATTTTTTTTACTCTTTTTTGGCTCCTCTCCATAAACAGACGAGCAAGTTTAAAAAAAAACAAAAAAAAACAAAAAACGGAGGATTGAGTTGCAGATTTAATTTATGTGGGCATTTGGTTGAGTAGGNCTCAAAAAATAATAATAATAATAATAATAATAATAATAATAATAATAATAATAATAATAATAATAATAATTGTTCCAGGCTTGAATTATGGGGGAATCGCGTAATGAAGGATCTGTTATTCACGCCGGGGGACGAGTTGGTCGTGGCAGACGCAGTGACGGACCAGCCGTTGTCGGCCTTGTCAACGCCGCCTTCGCGAACGGGGTTGCACTTAGTACTTCTGGCTCCATACATGGCGGGCCAACATCCTCATTGACGGACTCCGATAGGGCGGCTATTTCTGGGTTGACTAATGCCCAATGGGAGTCTATTGTACACCTCGTCACTTCTGCCCGCAACAATGCTCCTTTGTTCGGTAAGCGTAGTCCTTATGAGTGAATGTATGATAGCGGTGCTTCACATCATATGACGGGCTACTTAGAATTTTTTTCTGATATTCGGGATATTCCGTCCCGGTCTGTGCAGTTACCTAATGGCACGCTCATCACTGCGTGTAAAGCTGGAACAGTTCATCTCGGTTCTCGTATTATTTTATATGATGTTTTGTTCGTTGACAGTCTTCAATGCAACTTGATATCTTTATCTTGGTTGTTGGAACAATCTGGTTGTGTTGCTACCTTCACTAGTAAATATTGTGCTATTCAGGATCTCCCTTTGAGGACAGTGATTGGTGCGGGTGAGCAGTTAGGGGGACTCTATTTTTTCCGAGGGGCGATCACTACCAATGCTTCTCGGGTGTCTTCAGTTATGCAACACTTGTGGCACCAGCGGATGGGTCATCCATCTTCTACTGTTCTTGGTCAATTGCCTTTTGTCGAATCTCCTTCTTTGGTCTCGAATAAAGCTTGTGATGTTTGCTGTCGGGCAAAGCAATCTCGTGCTAGCTTTCCTCTTAGTCGCAGCATTAGTAGTTCCATTTTCAATTTGATTCATTGTGATGTGTGGGGACCTTATAGAGTTCCTGCCTTTAGTGGTGCTCGATACTTTCTTAATATTGTTGACGACTATTCTCGAGGTACTTGGATTTTCTTGTTGGATGACAAATCTTCGGTGTCTTCTACTCTACTGCAATTTTTTGCTTTTATAAAAAGGCAATTTGGCGTGTTGGTTAAAACTCTTCGCAGTGACAATGGGACTGAATTTACTCGTATGCGCGATTATTTTCGTCAACAAGGGATTGTTCATGAAACTTCTTGTGTTGGAACTCCTCAACAAAATGGACGTGCTGAGCGCAAACATCAGCACATTCTTAATGTTGCTCGAGCATTACGCTTCCAGGCCAATTTACCGATTGAGTTCTGGGGACATTGTGTACTTTCTGCTAGCTATTTGATTAATCGAACGCCTACTCCTCTTTTATCCGGCAACACTCCCTATGAACTTTTGTATGGCAAACCTCCCAACTATGCGCATTTACGTGTTTTTGGCTGTCTGTGTTACGTGCACAATCAGAACAGGGATAGAAACAAGTTTTGGAAGTTGGAGTCGTCGATGTGTTTTTGTTGGCTATTCATCTGGCCAAAAGGGGTGGTGTGTTTATGATTTGGATAGCCGCACTTTTCTGGTTTCACGTGATGTGAAATTTTGTGAATCAGATTTCCCTTATTTGACGTCTCCTGCTCTTGATACTGACTCCGTACCCGTGGTTCCATGGCCTGCTGTCTCTGACGACGATGATGATGTGGTGGTTCCCACTACCACGCGTACTGCTGCCACTGGGGGTTCTGAGGTCATTGTCGATAGGGAGGGTAATCCTTCCCAAGAGGAAGTGTTGGGTCGTGGTCATCGTCTCAAGAGACCATCTTCTCGACTTGCCGACTTTGTCTCTCATACTATTTGTTCCTCGTCCCCCCACTCTGCCTCCTCTATCGCATCATCATCTGGTACTCTTTACCCTCTCGCACACTATGTTTCTTGTGATTCATTTTCACCTGCACACCAGTCATTTCTGGCAGCCATTTCTTCTGTTGGTGAGCCTCGGACCTTTTCTGAGGCTGTTCGAGATAGTCGCTGGCGTTCAGCTAT